ATATATATATATATATATATATATATATATATATATATATATAAATATATATATATATAATATTTATATTTTTATATTTATATATATAAAAACCACATTAAAAGCAAGATCTATAAACATAAGTTATAATTGGAATGCAGCATGTTTAGCAAGAAAATACTAGTCATTAGACACTAGTCAATACAAATGCTAGTCATTCATAACTTCACATTTAATTTAGTGTGCAGCTTGTAGCTTATCACAAAGTAATTAACAAATTTACTAGAACTTTCTGTGGGAAAATTACTTGTTTATGCAACATTTTCTATGTGTAGGTGTCTAGCATTGCGGTAGTGATGAGATGATTTTCTTCCCCTATAAGATATCATAATTTAATATAAACACTATTACAATATGTACATGGGGGTCAAAGTAAGAAATTAAAATTTCAAGTGATTTTATATACATGCATAGGAAGCTTTAGAAAAAAAGTAAATAATCCTTAGGAGTCTGAAGTGCCCTATTATCAACCAATGTAACAATAGTTACTTTGGAACTGCATTGTAAAAAAAATATTATGATCAATAAGCCATGACATTCCCAGAGATGGGTTGCGGCTGGAAGGGCATCCGCTGCGTAAAAACTTGCTGGATAAGTTGGCGGTTCATTCCGCTTTGGCGATCCCAGATTAATAAAGGGACTAAGCTGACAAGTAAATGAATGAATAAGCCATGACAACATATTTATTTTAACTTATTAAACATTAATTAAATTTATTTTTAAGTTATACATGCAGTTTTCATGTCAGTGTGCAGCTTGAAGTTTAACACAAATTAATTATCAAATAACTAGACATATCTGAGGGAAAATTACTCGTTTATGCAACATCTACAATATCTATGTGTACGTATTGCGTTAATGACAATCTCACCTCCGGTCAGTCCAACGAACGGTAACGCTGCCTCGGCGTTGCGGTGTTGACGTTGCGGCGTTTGCGTGTTCATTTCGTTAAATTTATTCAAGAATTCAGCGTATTGCTTTGGCTTTCCAGAAACCCCAACTTTCACACATTCTGACCCCTCACATCCTGAGAGAAAAATACAAATACATATTAGAAAAAAAGACGGAAATACAGTCACGCACGGATGTAAACAAAAAAGATTCGACGCTTACCTGACTCGAGTGAAACAGCTTGACAAATAATCACAGCAAACATCAAGAACCTGGAGGTGAAAATAAGAAAATTAAGTATATTATGGATAAAATGAAAGGCCTGAGCAGATAAAAACAAACGAGCGAATCATCCAAAATATGACTCGTGAATCATTTGCTCACCCGAACAGTTGACTCGTCATTCCGCTGGCCAATAAACTCCAAAACAACTCGATTGAGGTAAGTTTTCGTATCCCAAAAACACCATTAGAACATCTCCATCTCACAGAACTTCTATCTGTGCCTGTGTTTGGGTCTGTTATTTATCTCGAGGGCCTCAGACTCCCCCATTCACACCTGTAAACCCTCCCATAGTCATGCATGCGCGCACACCCACTAATGCAAACGAGTCCCCATTCATATTCCGTCAGTCAAACCGGTTTGAAGCGAATCGACTCAGTTCAGTATCACAGAGAAGCGATTAGCGACTTTTGATGCTTCTAATGCGGGACTTTACTAAAGATGTTTATTTCTCATGTGAAAAACTTAGAATACAGATGAGCTTTCAGATGAAACACACGCTTGCGCTCATTTATTCATACAGCTGAGTAATGTATGACTCTATGACTTACTCATGACTGAGGAAGCTATATGTATTAATTATGTGACACTAATGAAAACGTGCTTATTATTTATTACTTAAGCGTCATGTTTCTGCATTTATGCAAGTGTCATGCATTTATCTAAAATGATTTCATTAATTGATTGCATGTTTATCAGTTTTATTATTTGGGTTCATGTAGGTTTCAGTCTGGTCTTTAAAGGGATAGTTCACACAAATATTACAATTTATTTACAATTTACTCACCCTTAAGTGATTCCAAACTTTTTTGGGAATCTGTTGGGACATGAAATAAGATATTTGAAGAAAGATGCACCATTGACTTTCATAGTAAACAACAAATACTATAGAAGTCGATAGTTACATTTCCCAACATTATGCAAAATATCTTCTTTTTTGTTCAACAGAAAAAAGACACTCATTAAGGTTGAAACAAGTAAAGGATAAGTAAATTATGAGAGTGTTTTTATTTTTGGTTGAACCAAGGATGGACTTAACAAATAATTGAGGCAAGCAGCCGCTTAGAGCCCCAGGTAATTAGGGGGCCCCAACCAATGCCAAGAAGCCTATAATAATCATATAGCTCTTTTAAAAAAAAATTCTTTCATCTGTTGTAAAATCTGTCTTAAATCGTCAAGATTTTAACGTTATTAGTTCTTTTCAAAACTAGGAGCCCTCATGAATAGTGGATCGTTCCTTCCATACTGCACATACAAATATTCAAATATAATCACAAATATGGCAAACGTATAGCAATTAGTTGAGTATACATATAAATGCAAGTGATTTCATATGTGCACTCTAAGCCCGGATAAGTTGGGTTACTTAAAAAATAAGAGAAAACTGGTTCCCCTAAAAATTTTAAGTAATGTATACTTAAAAAACTTGAGTGAGCTCTGCTTAAAAGATAAGAGTTGTTCTAATATGTATAAGTTGAATACACTTAATGCTTTAAATATCTGTCACTTATTTAGATTTAAAATTGGCGCCTTTTCATGTCAACCATCCAGGCAGGCGCAAACAAATGAAAGTGCGTCAGCTTTGAATGTGTCGTGTGAACAAAAAAAAGAAAACAAAAAAAAGCTTGTTGTCAAGTGAAAATGCCACGATTCGTTTAAAACATGCTTTTCGCGCAGTAACACACTTTACAGACATATTAAAAGGGATCGGATCCACCACTTAGAATTTCAGAAGTGAAAATTTTGCAGGTTAACCAGCGAACTCACCTGCCGAATCCACACGTCAAGTGTTTAAACAGGACTCGCGCATGAGTTAAAACGAAACATACTTAAAACAGTGTTTTCCGGTATTAACAGCCAAAATAAAAGCTAAATAAAATGTTTATAGTCTACTCACCAGAAGTTTAAAATTACCCGCTACTGCAACCACGAGTATATGGCATTGCTTAAGCAAGTCAGGTTGGGGGCAGGAGGCGTGATCAGTCAAGAACTTTTAAAACATTAGTCTATTGTACTTAAAGTTATTCATACAATAAATTTATGTCTACAAAAAAAGTAGAATTCACTTAAAATGTTATAGTAATGAACCAAATATTGAATTATTTAAGTACCTTGCACTTAAACTGTATAATTAGACATCAAATCCGGGCTAACAGTGTGGATGTGCATGAATTCACATGGCAAAAGGAAGTTTAAGAGTTTGATTTAAATCCGACATGGCAAAAAAATATAGTTACTACTAAAATGCCAATAAAAGTCACCTAAACTGTTAGAGCTAAACTAGTTTTCAACAGAGCAGAGATCCACATCCCATAATGCAATTCACAACCGTAAATAAATGAAAAACACTTGTACACAGAAACTGTTTATTAGATATTTTTACAGTGAATATAGTTGAGAAACACTACAGTATTTTTCATTTGCTATGGTGATTTTTCTGTTTTCTATTTGTTTTTAAACATTTGTGCGTGCAAGTCAGATGAATTCTCTTGTGATTCTGTTCCTGCCGGCTGACGTTTCCAAAGGAACGCCAGTAGGTATATATAACCGCCGAAACCCTAAAGTAATTAGAGTGTGTTTTCTTTGAGGAATTTCATGTGTTTGATGCGGTTCACTTGTTTAAAGAGCAGCATCTAGCTCTATTCCTGGCCATGTGCTTTGCTATCGGTTTCTAATTAGCCGATTTCTCTGTGGGCCTGTGAGGTGAGGAACTCTCAAACATTTGAGTTTGCCATGCTGTCTGTTTAAATACATGACTAGAAGCGTCAAAGTACGCTTTTGTGTATGCCCTGGTTTCTCTTTCCACAAAAACAGTCGCTCTCTCTGCTTAAACCTTAATTCTAATTTAAACTTCCTGTGAAATTAAATAAAGCTGATTTTTTTTACAACCCCAAAAAAGTTAGGATAGTAAAAAAATGCTAATAAAAAAGTATTGATTTCTATATTTATTTTGACTTGTATTTCATTGCAGACAAAACAACAAACATTATTTAATGTGTTTCAGTTTTTTATTGTTGTTTTTCCCAAAATAAACACCTTTTCAATTTTGATTCTTGCAACACATTTCAACTAAAGTTGGAACAGTAAAGCATTTTAATGTTGCCATTGCTGTTCACAGCACTTAAATGACCACAGATTCAGCTCGAAATGCTCTGCTGAAGAAAAAAAAAAGGCCACTACATTTCAAGAGTTCCCACTTAGATATGTTTAGCGTTTATAGCAGGTTTGGCATGCTGTCCCGGGAGAGAACCCTGAGCTCGGAGATGCTAGAGCCCAAGGCTCCCGCTCAGTCAATAAGCATATAAGGGGATCCGAGATCAGATTGGTCTCGAGAGCTCCCCCTTAGAAAAGGGATGAAAAGGAGGAGCTGGGGTGGAAGGGGGGATTCTTCCAAAACGAAGATAGAAGAGTAGGGAGAAAACAATCCAGTTATAGTAGGCTAGGATCACTCTGATTGGATTATTACTAATTACAAATGAGAAGTCAGTCATGCTCAATCATATCACATGCTCCTCTCTAAATTAGTTTGTGAAACTTCACTTAGGATGACTTGAGCGTGAGTTAATTAAGAAGACATTTTCATTTTCATTAACTATCCCTTTAAGGATGTCTATAAGCTAGTGTGTTTCGAAAAATAATGGAAACATTAGCATTTAGAAGATATAAACATTAAAATCTTGCAGTTGGTCACTTCCAAACCTCCAAACCATTTTTCTGATGTCACCTCATACTTCAGTTTCAAACCTTCTGACCAATCAAATGCTCTCTAGTATCTGCAATGCTCCGCCCCCTTTTCATTTGCTTGTCATCTGATGTGCTTGAGCTCAACCGCTCTCACTGGCAGAGCTGCAGAAAAAGCAAAACGTTACTGGCTGTTTTAAATAAAGGGGAGGAGCTACTAAATGTCCCACCCTCTTTTTATGTTTCAGTTGAAATTATGTCAAACATTAAATAAAAAAATCACATTTCAGAGGGGTCCGTGTACGTTTTGTTCATTTGTTTTCCATT